GCTTTTATTATTTTTGTGTGGTTTGGGGTTTTATTTTGGTTTGGTTTTTTGTCTTGGGGATGGTGATTAGAATATGAGAAATACTTTGCTGGTCCCTTATGAAGGGAGCATATTTCACTGAGAAGGATACTTGTCTTAACTTTTTCATACTAATATTTAAACCTCTAAAATACCTGCTATAATTTCAGAAATATTTACCACATTGCAGGCTCTTTTTCTGAATAATTTTCATGTGGATTTAACTTTCAACTTACATTTGAAAACCCCAAGCATAACATGCATTCTAGTCATCCTATTTAGGAAATATCTTCAATTACACGCAGTTCTTGAAAGCAACTTAAAAGCCACTTTTCCCAGCTCTAAAGTCTGATTTTTTTTATCATAGTTTGAAGAAACTAAGACAGAAAGAATGTATGGTTTTGCCATGAAACAGATCTCATGGTTTCTTTCAAGACATTGCTTCTTCAGTTTAGGAAACAATGAGAAATGATTCTAATATTCCACTCATGCTATTCAATACGTAATCAATTCTCAATTAGACCATAACCATCCCAATAGATGATTTTAACAGGCCTTGAGGGCTGATACCAATCACTGTATGTCTCATTTCAGTGAAGAAGGATGACTCCTAACTTAGAAAAAGAGGAGCATAGTCTGAATATTATTTATTTGAATATGAATTTAATTTAAATATTAATTGTACAAAAATCAAGATGTTCTTCAGTATTTTTTAAATGGCCTGAATTCTAGTTGTACTGGTATTTATAATAACCCTGAATGTTCTTTCAGCTTAAAACCTTCTGGCGTCAGCTGCACCAAATAGCTTTTCTAGAATTTTAGGAATTATTACGTGAGTCTTGGCACTGGAGTTCCCCTCAGCCCCTTGAGATATGCAACTCACAACAGTGAGGGACTGATGGCTGATGTAGCTGGAAGTCTGCATTTCAACCATTTAAATGCCAACCAAACTATACCACTTTCCTGTTAAAATGGTGAAAAAGCATCAAAAAGAGGAGAGAATGAAATTGATAGTAATATAGAATATCCTCTAGTGAAAAAGTTTCTTTCTTATTCATTCAATTAGTTTCAGCTTCAATTTCATTCAATTAGTGTCAGCTTCAATTTATGAGACTTTCTAACCCACAGATAATTTAATGGAAACGTCCTTCTTGTGATGGTCTTAAAAACTT